CTCTTCCCCACCAACCTCTCTCACCCCCTCCGCCTCCTCCCTCTCCCTTTCTCATTCCTACCTCTTCCCTCCCAGCCTTCCCTCTAATTTCAGTCTCCACATCCTCATCTACTCCCCTTCTCCTGTTCTCCCCCCACCTCCCTCCCTCCCTCTCTGATCCTAGTCCTCTTTTCCCACCTGGGTTCCCCTACAACACACTCACCCAACCTTGTCTCTCTCTCTCCCTCCCTCCCTCCCTCCCTCCCCCTCTCCCTCTTCCCCTCTCCATCTCTCTCCCTCTCCACCTCCCCCCCATCCTTCCTCCATTCCAGTCTCCAGCCTTTCCACCTCTCCAGGTCTGAGCTTCCCTTCCTCTTCACCCCCTTCCACTCCACTCGGCCTTGCACCCACCTTCGCCCCTGTCCCTCCTGTGTCTCTGTCCACCCTCCTCCCGGCCCTCTCCTCCTCTCCCCTCTGCCTTCTCCTTCCCTCCTTCCCCATCTCCTCCCTGTCCTGTCTTTCGTCTCCTCCCCCACATTAAAGCCCCCCCTTTGATTCCTGCCACTTTGAAACACAGGGCCAAGTCAGCAGCCTGTTTTTAAGTGTCCTCTGTACCCCCTTTAGCGTGAGCATAGGACACACACACACACACACACACACACACACACACACAGGAGTCACTGGGCTGAGCCTTGGCTGTGGGCATGGTGCTGGGAAAGCTTCCGTGGACTCCCCCTCCCTGAGTGACCACCCTCACTTAATTTGAATAGGAAGTGGGGAAAGTTCCTTAGAGCTGGCTGTGCGTCCAGGCAGGGAAGGCCATTCCTCTGCACCGGGAGCTGAAAGGACAGCCTCCTTTCTGTTCTGTAAGCAGAGGGCATGGCCTAGCCCACGTCTACTGAGTACAGCACTGCGCCTGCTCCCTCCCTTTTGTTAACTGCTATGGGGGTGTGTGCAAAGCTGGAGGAAGGATTTGAGGGCTCCTTAGCCTCTGGATCACAGTTCCTGGGGCTTTCCCTGTGGGAACAGCTCAGGGTGTTGCTCTTGGAGGCCACTGCCAACCCCCAGGAGAAGGCTCTTATTGTTTGTGCTAAGTGGCTTCCCTATCAAGCCTTCCAGCTGCTGGTGGCTGGGTCCAGCTTGCTGAGAGAGAGCCTGGGGCAGCAGGGTGCTCCCTGCCCTCCAGGCCTGAGCTGAGTGGAGCCAGCCTAGCCGACCAACACCAGGGCAGAGGTCATTTCTCCCCCTGCCCCCCTTCACTTGGTCGTTCTGCTCTCTACCTGCTGGACAGCCGCTGGCCTTGCCAACTCCTTCAGAGCCATCTGGAGTCCTGGCTAGGGATGGAGCCAGGAACTTCCAAAAGCAACATGCTTCTGAGCCACAACAGCCTCTTAATAGCCTCTCCCTCGACTGTTACGGCTGGAAGAGCCCCAAAAGTTGTGACCCACGGTGCCAGGGATGGAAGGGAAGATTTGAATGCCCGCCATGCTCCAGTGACTGTTATTACAAGGTAGTCACTTTCAGCCTCTGGAGAGTCCAGCTCTCACATCACCTTGATGGTCTGGCAGCCCTTGTCCACTCCCCTAATGCAGTGAAGGGGCCCTGGGAATGGCTTGGGCACCCTGAGAATTGCTTACAAGTGACTGGGGTGCAAAGGTGATGGTCTGCAGGCCTTTGAGGTGGGGGCTGACATCGTTGAGTGGTTACAACTGGTCACTTGACTTGCAGTTGTGATCTTGTATCCCCCAAAAGCAAAACGAGTTGTCAGATGATCCGACACTATTTGAGCCTGCTGTGGCTGCCTTGTGCTGCCTGGCATGAATTGCTCGCCACCCGGCAGATGGCTCCCTGACTGGGAGCTCTCTGCTTCCCTTACTGTTACCTGGCCTAGTCCCCTGGAGCTATTTCCTTCAAGACCAGATTATGTCAGGGGGTGGGAGGCAACTGGCCTGCAGCTTGGAGGGTGTGGTACTGCATCCCTTCATGTAGGGCACCAGGCAGACTGGCCCTTCCAAGGCCCGGCTGTCTCTGTACTCAGAATAACGGTCACTCCTAATCTTATTTTGCATTTTCCAGCTCTTCTCTCAGGAGACAGCCAGACCTCTGAACAGACATTTAATCATCAAGGTAGCCAATGTTGTCCAAAGGGGAGCACTTGCCTGACCCCAGTTCCCCTTGGAGCTATGAATGGTCTGTCGTTCACCAAGAATGTTTCCGCTGTATTGAGAACCATCCTGGGCTCTGAAGGTGCCGTGTATGCGAGGGAACAAAGCTACCAGAAGTCCCTGTGTGGGAGGAGCTTGCATTTTAGGGGACAGGTGAATGAACAGTGTCCAGTAACGACCAGTGCGAGGAGGAAAGTCTTGGGGGAAGGGGTCAGAGAGCTGGGCTTATGAGGGCCTGGCCAGGTCATCAGGGAAGCCCAGGTAGATCTGAGCAAAGACCCTTCCAGCCAAGATGGTAGTCCTATGCTAAGGTCTTGCTCAGGAGGCCAGTAGGGCTGGAGTGAAGGGGATAGTAGGTGGTGCTTAAGGCAGCCCCTGTGCATCACATGGGTGACTTCAGATGGCTGTGTATCTGATGCCACTTCATAGAAGGTTCAGCAGAGGACGGATGTATTTTACCAGGACCCATCCTGACTGCCCAGGGGAGAGCTGCCAGTGCAAACTGTCCAGCCAGGGTGAAAGCTGGGAGGCCAGCCAGGAGGCAGTGACATCATCTTTACAATAATGGCCATTTGGACCATGGTGTAGGACTAAGGTTCTTCAGAGAAATAGAGCCAATAGAAAGTTTGTGTGTGTGTGAATATGTGTGTGTGTCCCAACTTATGTTAATCACCTGATAAGCCTATTGTTAGCCTTAGCCTTTAATGGTTACGCCTTCACTCCAGCCCTGAGAAGCCTGTTAATTAGAAGTATTTTAATAAAGAAATGCCTGTCATCCACCTAATATATACATTGTAGCCAGCAGCCACATGCTCCAGAGTGCTGGCTGTTTCTCCTCAAGATCTTCGGGGAGTTGTGGTCACTGTCACTGCCTAGCTTCAAGACAAAGGGTCACCCTGCCTGTCACCGACCTGGGGAAAAATCCAAATTTGAAATTTGAAAGACAGTTTCTCCTGAATGCATATCGTGAAGTCAAAAACAGAGAGTTGAATTGTCATCGAAGTTTGGGACCATTTGGGTGATTGGGAAGCAGAGTCCCTCAATCTGCTGCCTGCAGGATGGAGACCTAGGAGAGGTCCTGTGTGGGTCTGAAGCCTGAGAGAGCCCAGGAGCTATGGCATGTACCCTAAGCCCAAGGGCGGGAGACTGATGCTTGGCTCAGGCCGGCAGGAAGATCAGGAAGAGTCCTTCTGTCCTAGGAAAGTGCCTTGTGGATCAGATGAGGCCCACCAGCATAGAGATGGCTGTCTGTCTGACTCAGTCCACCAGCTTTAACTCATTCAGAACCCCTCAAGACACCCAGAATAAGGCATAACCAACTCTCTGGGCATTGTGTCCCATCAGGTTGATGAACTCATCCTCCAGGGACAGGAAATGGCTGGAGTTCACCTCTGATGTCTTCACGCCTACTGGTCTCATAGGTCACTGTTATTTCCCCTTTCTGCTGTCCTGGCCTTTGTTCTGCCTACAGCAGAGCTCAGACCTGGGCAGCTGTGGGTCAGGCAAGGGCTGGTCCTCTCTGAACTGTCACAGCAACCTGGGGACTCCTGGGGTCCTGACTTGCCCCTGTGCTTGCAGCCCTTAGAATCAAAATAAAAATGGAAGAAAGCTCCTGTATGTACCAGGTGGCCTGGGGACCCTGGGCTGGAGTCTGGGAACTGCTCACCACCTCCTGGGCTGGCCTTGGGTCTTTGGGGACCTTGGTGACTGAACTCAGTCACAAGGGGAGTTATACAGAGGGTCCTCTCCAAGTGTGTGGGACACTGCCTGCATTGAATGGAAGGGGAGCCTGGGAGCCAGAGCAGGGCCAGCCTCTTTCCCCAGCCCCTGCAGAGACTGCAGTTCCTTCTAGTACCTTCTGATAGATAAAAAGTAGCCTGTGGATGAATCTGGTTGAGGAGAAAGCACCAGGATACAGATAAAACTCCATCGGAATAGAGTTTATTAGCAAAGGAACACATGGGACAGATTCCCTTCCGGGTAGGGAAAATGCCTGCCCCAGGTCTTGAGCTGGGGCCTTTTAAAGGGGGAGGCTTCTGGGGGGTGCAGAATGTGGGAAGATGTATTTTTTTAAAGTTGGGCGGGGGAGTGGGAGAGCAGGACTGTTAAAACCTGCCATCTTTAGAGATCAAAGGGGAAGCCTGCTGTGTTGGCCAAACAGTGGAGAAAAGTCTGCTTCTCTTAACTTCAAAGACCAGGGCGCTTATCAGCTCTGGTCCCTTTTCTCAGAAGCTTGAGAAGTCCCTGAGACCCTGTTGGTGAGGGGGTGGGGCTGTCTGAACCTTAACACCTTCTGCATGCACAGACCCAATCCCTCAGCAGAGCTCACTCTGTAATTGCCAAAATGACTGACTGGAGTTATTTCATATTAAGGCTTCAAAGGGCACTGAAAGGGGAGGAGCCACGGCAAGAGCCCAGAAGGAGTTGGCTAGCCCCTGGTTTCCCTGACCACAGCAGCTCCCTCTTCAGGCACCGTGAGGGGAAGAAAGCGTGTTTCACAGTGCCAGCACCTTCCCTTGAAGTTTGGAGACGGGAAAGGAAGGCTTTTGATGGGTTGGGAAAACTCTATAGGGCTTCCTCAGTGTGGGTGAATCAGACAGGCAGAGCATTA